TATAAGTAATGCACGTACCTTTGTGTGTATTAGGGTTTTGTTGGGCCTTGGGCCCGAGATTAGTTTATGACCTAATTGGATAGTGAGCCGATGTCGCCTAGCGTGTGTCCGAGGTCACTCCGCGCTGTGATGCCGAGCTCAAGCTCGGCGTAGTGGTACGGATAATACACTAGCCCCCCGAGCTCTGAAGACCGTAGGTCGAGGAGTTAAGACCGAGCTTGACAAGGGGTCGTGACTTTTCGCGTACGCTTATTTTTCATGACGCCATGTGTCATAACCATCACCTCGTTCCCATAACGTGTGGGCAGCGCGGTGACAAGATTGTACTTTTATTTGTTTGATGACGTGGCATCTTTGGGCCGGTGTGGTGTTCCGATGTCCATGTTTCATGGTCGGGCTGAGGAGCTCGACAATAATGAGCTTACTACTTGGTTAGGCTGGTAAACCTTTAATCGAGTCAGCAGATTGGTGAGGGACAAGTCGGCAATTCGGCTGGCCAGTACACTAGCCCCCCAAGCACCAAGTGATGTAAGAGCAAAGGGGTTTCTGAGGAGTTCCCAAATTTGTTGTTTGAAGGTTCAAATTCGACCTTGTTAAGTAGATGTGATCTCAAGGTTCGGACTCGACCTTGGCATATCAAGGTTCGAACTCGACCTTGGTTAAGAAAATGTGATCTCAAGGTTCGGACTCGACCTTGGCATATCAAGGTTCGAACTCGACCTTGGCAAGTCGTCATGGTTAATGTGCCAATACCGAAAATGTATGGGAATGGAGTTGCTTTGTTGATTTATTTCTGAGGTGTGCCTCGTTAAAACCTTCCTTGGCCAAAAACCCTTTTCTTTAGTGGGAAAAAAGGCTGAGGAGGAAAAAGAGTACATCCCCTGAATTTACAAGTTAAGAGAAATAAAATTTGAGGTGGGTGGAATTCCAAGTTCCAAATTTTCCTTTGGAGGGGTCTGTTCTTGCTTCTCCCCATAATTGCCAAACAAGGTCGCCAACTTTAAATGTTCGTGGCCTGACCTTGGTCTTGCTTTCCTTGTGGTTTGTTGCGAATTGTCTTGCGAAACTCGGCATGCTCCTCCATCTGGATGTACCCAGCAGCGCGAGCTCGGAGCTCATCCATGTCGGGAGGAGGTCGTTGGCAAAGGCTATCGACGAAAGGTCCTGGCTTCAACGCCATGAGCATGGAGTGCAGTGCGACCTCGGGATTCAGATTTCGGATCTTTACCGAGATGGCGGCGAATCGTTCCATGAACGTCCGGAGTGGCTCGTCGTCACTCTGTCTGAGACTGGCCAGGGCAGCTGATGTTATGTGATGAGGTCGGCTCGTCGCATATTGTGCTGTGAACCGTCTGACCAGGGTGCCGAAGCTGTCAATTGACTCGGCAGGTAGCTGGGTGTACCAGTTGAGCGCGGCCCCTTTGAGCGAGGTCGGAAAAACCCTACACAGAATAGCATCGTTATTGGTGTAGAGGTTTACCTGTGTGGTGTACAGGTTGATGTGCTCGTCTGGGTCTGTCGTGCCGTCGTAGCGGTCGAGGTGGAGAGGCTTCCATCCGAGAGGGAGTGGCGTCTCCATAATGCCATCCACAAAAGGATGACGGCGGAAGGTTGGTTGATCCCCCGCGACATGAGTAGGAGCATTGCTGACCTCATGGGCCGATTTGTGTGTCGGTGCATGAGATCGATGCGTGGCAGGCTTTGGAGTCGGTGTCCTATGCGCTATTGGCGGTTGAGAAACCGAGTGCCCCTCTTCCTCGTTTAGGTGACTCGGTTGAGGGGGTTGATCAGAGGTGCGCCGTGGTAGCTGAGCGCGGATACGCTCATTCTCGGCGCGCAGCGCCGCTAGGTCTGCTTCATTGGCGGTTCGCATCGCGGCTAGGTCAGTTTCGTGCTTGGCACGCATGTTTTGCAGATCGGCGGTGTGTTGCTGCCGCATCTGCTCGACCTGCTCGATCAGCCTTCTCAATGCTGCTTCGTTGTCCATGGTAGTTGCGTGATCTAGGTCGTCTGTTGCGCGTCTGCTATGGCTTCTGGTAGAAACCATAAGAGTGGCCGATAAGAGCTGTCTTGATCGGCCCCACGGTGGGCGCCAAATGTTCTTACCGGAAATCTGCTGTAGAGATGATCCTCCGAGTAAGATTGGTGAGCCTCCTTCGCTGGTATGCTTGATGCTCCAAGATGGGGGTGGTACCTGCAAAAGAGACTCCGATGCTAAAGTTAGTGTTTGTTGGCTTCCACAAGAAGGTATCGGACCATAATTCTCCTTGTGTCCAGAGAGGTTCCGAAGGTGGTCAGCAGGTCCAAGTATCCCCGTGTGTGTACTCGTTCTTCTGCAAAACCAACTAGGGGCTCTGTGTGAGATTGGATGAGAGAGTGGGGGATGTCTAACCTGAGGAAGGTTGGCCAATATAGAACGTCGGCCGAACTTCCTTGGTCAATAAGTGTCTTCTGAACTTCCCAGTTGGCTACTTCTACGGCGATGACCATGGGGTCATCTTGATTGGGGCTGACACTAGCGTAGTCCTCGTCAGAGAAAGAGATCGGAGGTGAGCTCTGATGCGATGTCGAGGTAGCGGAGTGGACACTATTGATATTGCGCAATTGTCTTTTCCAGGCCGAGCTGGTGGCACCTCCCCCTGCAAATCCGCCTGCAATCGTATTGATAACTCCCCGTAGGGGAGCTGATCCTGTCTCTTGGCCTATCTCGGCTTGCACTGCTCCGCCGACATTCTATTGAGAGCCAGAGGGTTGGTCCATGCGAGCCCCTAAACCACGGCGTCGGCCCCGTCCTCGTCCGCCATAGCCTCCTCAGTGACCCTGTTGTCGCTGGACATATTGGCCGGGGTGGCCTTCTTGGATGAGTTCTTCAATACGGTCTCGAAGTGAGCAGCACTCCTCGGTGGTGTGACCATGATTCCTATGGTACCGACAATGCTTGGATTTGTCGGCGCTGTTGGGGGTGTGCCCTGACGGTGGGAGGGTGAGAAGATTGTTGTTACTGGCCTCCTCCAGGATATGTACCCTGGGTATGTTCAGGGGAGTATAGAAGTCATATCTCCCCCCCTGTTCGTCTTAGCCGACTTCTTGAACTGGCTGTCATTGTTGACTTTGACCTTGTCCTTGTGGCCACCGTCGGGTTTTACCTGTGATTTCCCGCGAACTTGGTCACGGAAAGCAGAATGTTCCTCCATCTGAATGTACCCAGCGGCATGGGCACGGAGGTCGTCCATATTGCGAGGTGCTTCACGATATAGGCTGTCGACGAACGGTCCGGGTTTGAGTGCCATGAGCATGGCGTGTAGGGCGACCTCGGGGTTTAGATTCCTGATCTTTACCGAGGTGTTGGCGAATCGCTCCATGAACGTCTGGAGTGGCTCGTCGTCGTTCTATCTGAGACTGGCTAGGGCGGAAGAGGTGATGTGGTATGGTCGGCTCGTTGCATATTGTGCCGTGAACCGGCTGACCAGGGTGCCGAAGCTGTCAATGGACTCGGCTGGCAGCTGGGTGTACCAGTTGAGCGCGGCCCCTTTGAGCGAGGTTGGGAAAAACCTACACAGAATAACATCATTGTTAGTTTAGAGGTTTACCTGTGTCGTATATAGGTCAATGTGCTCGTCTGGGTCCGTCGTGCCATCGTAGCGATCGAGGTGGAGAGGCTTCCACCCGTGAGAGAGTGGTGTCTCCATGATGCCATCTACAAAAGGGTGGCGGCGGAAGGTTGTCTGATCCCCTACGACATGAGTAGGAGCCCTGCTGTCTTCATGGGTCAGCTTGTGCGTTGGTGCATGAGACCAGTGTGAAGCAGGTTTGGGGGTTGGGCCCCTAGTTGCAGTCCGGGGCTGGGAGACTGAGTGTGTCTCTTCCCCATGGAGGTTGCTCGCCTGAGGCTGAGGAGCAGAGGGACGCCGAGGGAGTTGAGCGCGAATACGCTTGTTCTCGGCGCGCACCGCCGCCAGGTCGGCTTCATTGGCGGTCCGCATTGCCGCTAGGTCAGTTTCATGCTTGGCACGCATGTTGCGTAGATCGACATCGTGTTGTTGCCGCATCTGTTCGACCTGGTCGATCAGTCTCCTTAATGTGGCTTCGTTATCTATGGCAGTTGAATGTTCTGCGTCGTCTGTTATGCGTCTACTATGGCTTCTGGTGAATACCATGAGCGTGGCCGATAAAAGCTTGTCTCGATTGGCCCCACGGTGGGCGCCAAATGTTCTTACCGGAAATCTGCTGTAGAGATGATCTGCCGAGTAAGATTGTTGAGCCTCCTTCGCTAGTACGTTGTTGTTCCAAGACGGGGGTGGTACCTGCAAAAGAGACTCCAATGCTAAAGTTAGGGTTTGTGTGAATATGAGTCTCGTATAAATAATGTACGTACCTTAGTGTGAGTTAGGGTTGCGCTGGGCCTTGGGCCTAAGATAAGATATGATATGATTAGATAACGGATCTCATTTGGAGCGAGATCCCCTGAGATCGGTTATGATCTATTTAAGTGCCGATCTGACGTCACGCGACGCGTGCCCGAGATCGTCTTATGTTGTGATGCCGAGCTGAGAGCTCGGCTCTGAAGTGTGGATAGTACAGATACCTTTAATTAATTTTGGTAATTGTTCCAGTTATTTTACGAGAAAAGTAATCCAATTAGACAATGATATTTTCATATTGATATATAAGATAAGACTATATTCATATATCAACTTAATTGATATGGATTAATCAAGAATAATTAATTAAATGTGAGTTCGACATATCAAATCGATATCAATTTAGTAATACGAATATGTAACCGAAGTTAAGTTATTGGCGTGTAGAATTTTCATATTAAATGTGTTGTATTATAATGTTAAACGTTATAATATAATATAAAAGTTGGACACTGAGTTGTCACGAGTAGGTTTTATTAAAAATATATATATCAACAATAGAAAATCCATTTGCAATATTATAAGCCTCACGCATCTTAAATTACATGGGCTGAAAAGAAATGAGGAAGAAAATGAGAGGAGGTCCTTAGAGCTCTCGCGCAAACAGCTCAAGTTGTGAAAACACCCAAAATTAAGCTGACACGAGACGCAAAAAAATTAGCACATTCTCAGCCTATTCCTTTCATTATTGTTATCGATCTGTTGGTACTAGCCGGCCTCTTTCTTAGCCCCTAACCTAACAGCTCCATCGCCTTGGCCTTTGGTCACTAATGATCAGAGATGGTGCTGTATAATAAAAGTAATAATAATAATGATAGTAATACTAAAGAGAAAAGAATGGCATATAGTTGAATACTACTACTTTGTGGGTTGTGGGTCTCCCATCCTGTCATTATTATTGTTACTATTGTGGGTGTGATTGTCAACGGTAATGGGCGCGCGCTGTGCTTGGCTTGTGCGCGCACCATTCAATAATGACAAGTTGTGGTTCACCTTGGGGGTATTGGTATCATGTTGGTGCACAGCAGCAGCGGCTATGTCAGATGCTCAGGCGCTGCTGAAGTTCCGGGGTTCTTTGACAAATGCGGGAGCCCTTAGCAGTTGGGATCCATCCACAAACCCAAAGCCACCTTGCACTGGAAACATTTCCAATTGGGTGGGCCTGTTTTGTATCAAGGACAAGGTTTGGGGGTTGCGCCTGGAGAACATGGGCCTAACCGGCAATATCGACATCAACTCTCTCGCTTCAATCCCCGCTCTGCGCTCGATTAGCCTCATGAACAATACCTTTGTGGGTCCTTTGCCTAACGTCAGGATGCTCCCAAATCTCAAGGCCCTCTACTTGTCCTACAATCATTTCTCGGGACAGATACCTGACGATATATTTACGAGTTTGCATAGATTGAGGAAGCTGTATTTGGCCAATAACGAGTTCTCGGGTACAATCCCTTCCTCTATTCCCACCTTGCCTAGTCTCCTCGTCCTCAGGCTCGATTCAAACAAGTTTCAAGGTCAAATCCCCCGATTTCGACACAATAATAATTTGAAGATTCTCAACCTTTCTAACAATGAATTAGAGGGTCCCATCCCGACCAATATAAGCACCTTCGGCGCGTCCGCCTTCAACGGTAATGTACATATATACTATGCATATGCATACATGCCAATTGACATAATGCTTGCAATGAATTGCAGGAAACTCAGGACTATGCGGGCCACCCCTGAAGAATGAGTGCCAAGCGTCACTCGGATCCAAAATGCGGATTCAAAAAATTTTAATTGTTGTGTTCGCGACAGCATTCATAGTAGCCATGGTGGTTGTAGTGTTGGTGATATGTCGGTTGAGGTCAGTGAAAAACCAACAGCAACAGGCCTCAGCGTTGCAGGGCCAGGGCCAAGCCTCAAATAAATACGCTCCTCCCATTTATGTGAAAACTAAAAGCCTAGCAGATTACCGTGATGCTAGTCCGAGGCAGGTAGCACCAGATCACGGGCGTGGGCGTGCCAGGAGGGCGGAACAAGGGAAACTGACATTCGTGAGGCACGACCAACTCAAGTTTGATTTGCAGGATTTGCTGAAGGCTTCCGCTGAAATTTTAGGAAGTGCCGGATTTGGGTCTTCCTACAAGGCCGTCATTTTGGACGGTCAAGCCGTGGTTGTCAAGCGGTACAAGCATATGAACAATGTGCCAAGAGAGGAGTTCCACGAGCACATGAGAAGGCTAGGCAATCTCAACCATCCCAATCTTCTCCCTCTCGTCGCCTATTATTATAGGAGAGAAGAAAAGCTTTTGCTCGCTGCCTTTGTCGACAACGGTTGCTTGGCCAGCCGTCTTCATGGTACTTACGTAATTATATTGGACTTCCTTTCCTTTCCACCTATGTTAATGTATAATAGTATATGAACAAACACCACTTTTGCAGGTAATCATAGCTATCAAAAGCCCGGACTTGATTGGCCAACTCGCTTGAAAATCGTCAAAGGTGTAGCCAGGGGTTTGTCTTACCTATACACTGCGCTCCCAAGCGTCATTGTGCCTCATGGTCATCTGAAATCTTCCAACGTGCTTTTGGATGAATCCTTTGAGCCCCTACTCACTGATTATGCCCTCAGTCCCGTCATCAACCTTGACCATGCCCAACAAGTCATCATGCCTTACAAATCTCCCGAGTATGCTCAACTTGGTCGCATTACAAAGAAGACTGATGTATGGAGTTTTGGAATTCTAATACTCGAGATCTTAACCGGCAAATTCCCTGAGAACTATCTTACACTTCGGTATAATACTGATTCTGACATAGCTAGTTGGGTAAATACCATGATTACTGAGAAGCGCACCAGTGATGTGTTTGACGTAGAGATGGGAGGAATCGGAAATAGTAAAGCTCAGTTGCTCAAACTCTTAAAGATTGGCTTGAGTTGTTGTGAGGAGAATGTGGAAAGAAGGCTAGATATCAAGGAAGCTCTTGCACAAATTGAAGACTTGAAAGAAACTGAAAATGATGTAATTATTGGAGATTACTCCTCCACTATTATAACCTCCGAAAGGAATATTTATAGAGCTGTGTGATTGTCACTCGCTTTTTTTTTTCCCGCTTCTTCTCCGACTTTATTTTGGAACCTACTAATTTGTACGCGTCGAAGGTGGCTTTTCCCATAAAGATCAACATATGCTATTAATTAATCATAACTTTTTTAATTAATTAATTAGTTTTTGTGTCCACTTGTTTTTTGTTAACATAACTTAGCCATTTCTCTAACTGAACCATCTTGTATTGTTACTTTGTCCATGTAGAACTAGTTCGAATTAGGCAACCTCTTCCTTAATTTAACAAATCTTTGTATAAAGCATGAATTGTCTCACAATATTGAATATGTAGTGCTAGGCATTTTGCAAAACATGCACGTATTTGCAAAAATGATTAATTTTTAACACACATATTGAATTGATACACAAATCTCTAACTTTATCATTTTTAATAGATTATGAGTTAATTGAGTTGGTATGAGAACTCAATCACATTATTCATATACTAACTTGGAGACACTGATGCCAAATTCGAATTAGTTTTTGTACCAACTTGGTCAAGAATACAAACTTGGCTAAAGGTTTCACCAAGTTAATATGTTGACCTTTATTAATAACTAGAGAACATATACAATCAAGTTGGCATATCACTAAGCTGTTGATATAAGAAAGAGTATGACAGAAAATATAGGAAGAAAACAGAACCTGAACTCCAGGATGAGTCTCATGCAAAAACTCAAGAAACTTATTCACAACAGCTTTTAGAAACGTCCAATGAGCTCTTAAAAATCGACGATACTATCCCACAACATACCTTCCAACAAAAGCAATGACATATTATTAAACAGAGGTATAACATCATTTAACATCGAGCAAATCAATACAAAAACATCCCTTACATGATATTATGTGCAATAACAACTTTGTTATCTTTTCCCGTTGTGATTTGACAGAGATATAATACATCCCAAATGACCATGACAAAAAGTATGTATTCTTGCCACATAAACATGATGTGAGTAATAATTGTTTCAAAAAAAATCACAACCAAAAGATAAACAAAGATACCTGTCGTGTTCTCAATATATTTTTTTTAATTTTCCAAAAACAAAGGAGTCGGGTTCTTCGGTCCTATATCTTCTCTAGTATGCCTTTTATTAAAACAAAATACAATTACCTATAAAAAAAATTTTAACTGGATTTTAGTTATATTTTTATATGTATTAGCTATGTATACTATCATTTATCACACTTTGAAAACACAAGTTTCAACAATCATAAATCGTAATCATAACATAAGAAATAAATAACCATAAAACATGAATGTCAACATCATCATACCTTAAAATCCTCGGTATCATCTACATATGGGACGTTGATAAGACATTCAAGACCCAAAAGCAAAGCAAATGTATTCTCTTTACTGGATTCCAGAATTCAAATGTGAACCTGCATAAACAGAAGGGTATCACCACACCAATAAAGATGTTAACAGACTTGAACACTAATCAAGCAAACTGAAAAACTATGAGCAAAACATAGAGTAAGAGGTGCTACACAGATGTGAAAAAAAAAACTAATTGACATGACAATTCAGTATATAGCAAGGTGAGTCCATTTTCAAACATGCCACACGCATGATATGGTACACATACACAAAGCATAAAAAATCCCAAAACTAGGTCACATTATATCACTTGATCCCATGACATTTCCTGAATATATACTTGAAACATACAATCACAGATAGACATAAAGCTGAGAAAACAAACCTGCCTTGCAAAATGAGGTGAAGAAAAGTACAAAATTCTGCATGATACCCTAAACAAGGGGGAAATTTTGTAAGAGATGCTTCACAAGTAACTTAGTAGTATGTCCGGATTCAATTTTGCCATAATATAGAGACTTACTTGTTCCACACTTGAACCATATGAATATGCCTCAAGAATATTGGTAGTGTTCCTAAACTGAAGGGCTGCCACCTGTGAACACAAAAAAGACAGATACACGCACATAGAAACACATACAAAACACAGCATGCACACACAAGGACTCAAAGGCAAAAAAAGGCACACAACACAGGGTACAGACATAGAACACACAGAAATGAGCACGCAGAGCACACAAACACAGGCACACGCACAGGGACATAAACTAAGCTGTTGATATAAGAAAAAGTAGGACAGAAAACATAAGAAGAAAACATAACCTGATCTCCAGGATGAGTCTCATGCAAAAACTCAAGAAACGTATTCACAACAGCTTTTAGAAACGTCCAATGAGCTCTTAAAAATCGAGGATACTGTCCCACAACATACCTGCCAACAGAAGCAATGGCATATTATTACACAGAGCTATACCATCACTTAACACCGAGCAAATCAATACAAAAACATCCCTTACATGATATTACGTTGAATAATAACTTTGTTATCTTGCATCCAAAATATTCCTAATGATCAAACATGATATATGGCTCTAATACCAATTGTTAGAACCAAATTTAAGCTTTTGTTGAAATCTATCATGTATATAAAATATAAAAGCTATCATGTTGATCACTAGAAACAACAAGCGGAAGCGTACCTGAATTCATAATGATAAGAGAGCTGTGTGGTTTGGCCTTCCAGATCAACACGTACTCTCTTGTGAGAACCCTTTAATTATCTCTCTGTCTCTATCTGATAATGGGATGTCAGAAAAGAAAAGAACATAGTATGATTTAAGTGTGGGAGGAACTATTTTGGTTATATGCTTTTAGGGTTTAATTGTTATTTTTGGGTCTAGGTTTTATGTTTAGTTGTTATGTACAGTTTTGCATGTTTCTCTTTGATTTCTGGGTTTTGATAGTTTGTAGGCACTTACTTCATTCTTGGATAGGAGTTTCTTGATACCATATGGTTTGAAATCCCTGTTTTTCTCTGCTTGGAAAGATGATTTTGAGGTTTGAGAGGTTCTTTTAATTGAGCCACTCTCTGTTCTTTCTTGTGTGTTATGCCTCTTGATTGCTTGCACAGTTGCCTTGTCTTGACTCTGTTTGATGCTTCTTGATTCACATGCATGTTTGGATATGATTAAGGCATTTTGATTCTCATAAGCCTCTAGCCAAATAAGCCTACCTTGAATTAATTCCTCTGATAACCCCTGCTGAGCCTATTTCCCCTTCTTTGTTTGAAGCTCATTACAAGCCTTAAGCGAAAAACCATGATTACCTTAACCTTAGGGAGTTTTGGAGCTTTGGAATTGTTTTGGGAATAAGTTCTTGAATAAGTGTGGGGGAATTTGTGTATGTTTCATTGGATGATGTATATTGGCTAGTTGATTCCTTATGCTGTACATTTAACTCCTCTGCATGTTATCATATCTCATTTTAAATTTTCATGTGTATTGTTCACTACAGATTATTAGTTTAAAAAAAAATACAAAAATACAAAAAAATACAAAAAAAAATACTGAAAAACGAAAAAGAGAAGTTGTTTGAGGCAATAGAAAGAGGATTGATTATCATAGAGGTCATTAGAGGTTTCTGGGTTTGTTTCTTGTGTGTATTCTTGACTTATTCCCCATTGCTCCTCTAGTTCCTCTGGTTTGTAGTTACTTATCCCATATATTATCCTCTACCCTGTCCTTGGCCTCATTACAACCCTAAAAAGACCTTTTGATCCTTATGTGCATGTTTGTTGGGTGTTGATTTTAGAGGCTTGCCAAGTCTATCTGTTGCTTGTTTTTCATGAGTGCTTTGAGAGTATACAATTGCCTAGACACTTGAGAGATACAGCGATACAATGCATCTAGTGAGCTTCTGTTGCTTTTGATTCACCTCTTAAGCTGATTGATTGTCTTGCCATGTTTTGAAATGCTTGGATGATTTCCATAAGTATCTGGGTTCTCTGACTCTTTCTGTGTTGGATGTTGTCTACTCCTTTTCTTTTCCCAAGATTCATTGAGGATTGTGTAAATCTATTTGTTTTCTTGTGTGTGTTCTTATTTCTGTTTCTTCCTGTTGTGTCACTCTCTTTGCTGTCATTGGAATTGTTCCCTGCTCTGCTTTTTGGTTTTGCCCAAGAGTGCAAAAGGCTAAGTGTGGGGGAATTTGATGAGTCATTATTTTCCCTTATTTTCTTACCTTTCTGTACTTATTTTAATCTCTAATTTGTGCTTAATTGTTTATATTCTGGACTGTTTTCTATTTGGGCTTTTATTGGACAGGTAATTCATATTTTAACTAATTTGAATTTTCTGAATCTAATTATTCCAACTTTTATTTTCAGGGCAGTTTAATAATTATTTGGGGCTTGGAATTAAATTTTTTGGACTTCAAGAGGAGCTGCCACGTCATCTGCCATGTCACCGCTGCACCATGTTCCACCCCAGCATTTAATTTCAATTTTTATTCTATTTTATTGTAGTTTAGGTCAGACTTGTATTGATGGGGCCAATTTCATTTTAGGTCATTTAGGTCTAGGTTAGGGCTGACTTGGCAGCCACTAAGAAGGATATTCTGAGGTGACTACGTAGCTAGCTGCCTTCTCTTTGTTATTTTTACGTTTTTCTTTGCTCTCTGTTGGAGTTTTACGTTTGGCTTCTTCTCCAGTCACGTTTTTTTTGTTTGCTTTCTCTTCTCTCACTACAAGAAAAAGTTAAATTTCCCATGGATTTAGATCCGTCGGAAATTTCCGACGGAATTTTAACTGATGGAATTTCTGACGGATTTAAATCTGTCTGAAATTTCTGACGGAATTTCTGACGAATTTAAATCCGTCTAAAATTTTTGACAGAATTTCCCACGGATTTAAATCCGTCTGAAATTTTCGACGAAATTTTCCACGGATTTAAATCCGTCTGAAATTATTAAATAAAATATAAGCCAATAATTTTTAAAATGCAAGCAATCCTGATCTCATCGATACACACAACAATGCACTATATAATATTTTCATTATTATATGGGAGTTTTCAAAATATAAATATATTGTAATGAATAAGATAAATATAAATCAGAGTGAGTGAGGTATGACTTACCTATATATTATTATATGTTTAATTAGGTTATGATAAATTATAAACTAATTAGCGCAAATGTATTTTTTTTTACTTATCTTGAAAAATACCAACACATGACGTCCAAATTTAAGAATAACATATCTTTTCTTTAATTTTTAAAAATCACTCATCTCTTTGAAAATAACGTTATTAATTAAATAAGGGGGAAAAAATTAAATTATGTTCTGCAAATCATATATATGTATCTATCATTTATTTCTAAATTACATCCAATACTATGTCATTTTCATGAAAACTTTCATTGATCTTCAATTTTGAAAATAAGATTTTTTTCAATTCATTTTTAAAATTATTACTTAAATTTAATATTTATTTTAAATCACAGTGTGCATGATATTTAAAATAAATTTCAAAAAAGTTGAAATAATGAAATAAGAGATCAAATCTCATTTAATTATTGATATTTGTATTAATAAATTATTTTCTCTTAATAGTATATAAATAGTATTATCTTATATAAATAGTTGTATGTGCCACTTAAATAAATAAATAAGAAAATTCACTACAAGAAAAATCAGTATTATCTACGGAAGAAATCTGTAGATAATGCTAAAAATCCGTAGGTAAATGTTAATTACCTACGGAAAAAAATCCGTAGGTAATAAGGTCGTAGATAACGTTACCTACGGAAAATTTTTCGTAGGTAACGTTACTTACGGATTTTATCTACGGATGACTTACCTACGGAAATTTCTGTAGATAACGTTACTTACGGAAAATTTTCCATAGGTAACGTTACCTACGGATTTTCTACGGATGACTTACCTATGGAAATTTCTGTAGGTAACTTACCTACGAAAATTTTCGTAGGTAACTTCGCTAGGCAAATTTCCGTGAGTAAGTTACCTACGAAAATTTCCGTAGGTAACTATTTTCAACAGATTTCCATACCAATCATTGTTCCTGCTCAAAAATATAAATAAAATCACTTTTCAGATTTCTTAAAATATCTTATAACCTTATATATATCCTTCAGTTAAGCAAATTCAGTTAACCACAATATGAAATCAAACATCTTTAAAATCAAAATACCCATAGTAATTATGCATAATTAGTTTCCATGTCATTGTGTAAAATAAGATAATTTTAAAATTGTACATAATAAAATATCAATAAAAATGATCCATAATCTATAAAAAAAAACTAATAGTCATCCCCATAGTGTCCAGTAGGCGGTGGTTGTTGGTCATCGTGGTTGTCATGAGATTGTTGATCCACCTGTTGTTGCAAAATATGTTGTGTATCAGAAGGTAGGAGAGGTAGAACAACATTGAACAGGGATTGAAACTGGCATTGCAAGCGTTTATTTTGTTCCCTAGATTGACGAGCCTCCTCCCTAGACTTACGGACTTGCTCTTCCAATTGAATAATTTTCTCTGACTCTTCAGTAGCACGCCCAGAAGATACATTTATCAAGGTATCCACATCTGTCAATGGAGAAGTGACTTTTCCAACCCCGTAAAGTCGTCTTTTGTCTGTAATCCCTCCTGCAGCAACAATCCAACTCTTATTGAACTACACTCCAATGAAACTAAACAATAACTACCACGTACACAGCTAGACTAAATGTAGTTCCTAAAATAAAATTCAACTTTATCACTCAGCATTTAAATATAATGATCAAAATGAATGATGATATAACAAATGAAAATGCATTGTTCCTATGATCAATTAGCTAATACTATTATGCTTTACTTTGGAGACTCAGAATGATAATGAAATATAGCAATCACAAATAAAACATCATCAACACATTACATCTAAAAGTAAAAATAAATAATAGGAACAGATGCATAATTTCCTGTTCATTTAATTTCTGTTTTAGTAGAGTTGGGGAAGGCAAAGATTTTACCTGTCATAGGTTGAAGAGCAGATGGCTCTCTCACCCAATGAGCTTCAGTAATGAGCTTCAGCAATGATAAGATAGCTCAATATTAAGAAAGGAATTATCTGCAAATGTCACCATACAAACTGCAGTGAGTAAAATAATACTGGACCAGAGATAGAAGAAAATGATAAAACAGAAATGATATGCTTATTTAATTATATAGGTGGCTGCATGTCAAGTTTTGATATAAAAAACCTACTTAGCATTCAAAGACGTGCAAATAAAAAAGAAAAAAGAAAATGACAATTAAATATATGTGAAATACAAAGGCCTTTCAATCTACAATCAGTCACCTGCTAGAAAATAGTGATTTCCCATTAAATTAACACAAAAACATTGCTCAACAGGGGAGAATAATAATCCCTAGCTAGCTTGATCACCTCCTTAATTCACTGACTCACTCTATAATCCTATTCTATGTAACCCTTCAAGTGAATAGAGAAACGACATTTTATGCCCATGTGCTTTTCTGCCACTGCAACCCAAAACTTCACTGATTACTCTCTGCTTATATCAGACCTACCCATCTCACAACTCCAAAAGAAGACAAAGCCCACCAACTGCCTTTAAGACCCTCACTCTTACACTCATATAGGACCTCGTTTACCTTACATATATTAATTATTCTCTTTCCTTCCCAATCACATGCAAAATTAGTTTCAGTTTCATATGTACGATTCACAATATTTTCAAATTAGAATCATAATTTTATCTCACTAATATATATATACTGAGATATGTAAATACATATTATTAAAACAAAACTTTAATTTTAATAAAAAAATAACATTAACCATATCTATAGAACTGTACTTAAGTTATTGAGAGAAAATTGAACACTTAAATCTATGATAGGAAATATCATACCCCCCTCCTTTCAAATCATTAAGGAGATCTCCATTCTTTAGCCTACGAGGGAATTGAAATGTTGGGTGTGGCCTATATTTCTGATCGTTGCCTTAAATGGTAATTTGATAGAAAACCCTTTTGACTTAAATGAGCATTTGTATCTAGCATGGTCATTCAGGGTTTAGGGTTTAGGGTTCAGGGTTCAGGGTTTAAAGTTCAGGGTTCAGGGTTCAGGGTTCAGGGTTCAGGGTTCAGGGTTTAAAGTTCAGGGTTCAGGGTTCAGGGTTCAGGGTTTTTTCAGGGTTCAGGGTTTTTTTAGGGTTCAGGGTTTTTTTAGGGT